ATCATCAGACGTCAACTAGACCCCGTCTGGCATCGCACAACGTTCAAGACGCGACAGGTCGTCCGAGATCTGTCCCTGCTTCGCACTATTCTGCATGCCCTTCTTACCTATGATGCGGTGAACTTCAACAAGTACCTCGATACTGTGCTTGCAGCCTCGCAACCACCGCCAGGGTCAACAAAGCAGAATCAGTCTCCATGGTTGTTCCTAGACGCGGCCGATACCATCTTTACCACTGCCAAGCGAAGAGTATACACGGGCAAGGTATCTAATGTGGAATTAGCAAACGCCTCGAATGCTGTGCCAGAGTCTCTGCAGCCTGTCCTAGAGGAATTTCCCAAGTGGACGCAGCTTGCAGAAATTCTGCAAGAGATAGAGCAAGATGCCTACTTCAACCCAACACCGCAAGACTCGTCCAACGGCTCTATACTCATCATGTGCGGCGACCAAGGTACAGCATCACAGCTAAGAGAGTATCTGCAGACCATGTACGTCAAGCCAGAGGGCGTTGCAGACGAGGACGAAGACGAGTACGAGCCATCAGCGAACTTCATGATGCGACGCAAGCTACGGAGCTATCTCACATGGAAACGCGACTTCAGCAAGGTCAGCGCTGCGTTGTTCTCAGAGAATCAGAAAGCCATCAACACCAGCACAGACAAGAATGTTCAGAGCGGTATGCGCCAGACTTCTGGTAAACCTCCGCCTAACAAGCGGCGCCGCATAAGAGGAGGCGGAAACGCAGCAGCAGGACCATCGCGGTCTGATACAGGAGCTGTTCGGACAGCAGGAGACCGCGACGCCCACATTGCAAGTCTAATGGCCGAACTGGAACCCACCGAGATCGAAGCCGCGCAAAAGCCTGGCGACGTAGGATTCGACCCGCTTGACAACATGGAAAGCTTCTACGAGCTCTTCGATATGAACTCCCTGATAATCGTACACCCCTACTCTGGAGACTTGGACGAACACATCCTCGACGAGACAAAGCCGCGATACGTCATCATGTACGAGCCCGACGCAGCGTTCATCCGGCGGATAGAAGTATACCGATCATCCCATACAGACCGAACAGTAAAAGTCTTCTTCATGTACTACGGCGGCAGCGTAGAAGAACAACGATACCTCTCCGCCGTCCGCCGCGAAAAAGACGCCTTCACACGACTAATCAAAGAGCGCGCAAACATGGCCCTAACCATGAACTCCACCGCCAACCTCGCGCCCGAAGAATCCTTCCTCCGTACAATCAACACACGTATCGCCGGCGGCGGCCGCCTAGCCGCCACCACCGAACCCCCCCGTGTCGTCGTCGACGTACGAGAATTCCGGTCCTCACTCCCCTCGCTCCTCCACGGCCGGTCCATCGTAATAGTCCCCTGCATGCTCACCGTCGGCGACTACGTCCTCACGCCCCAAATCTGCATCGAGCGAAAATCCATCCGCGACCTAATCCAATCCTTCGCCAACGGCCGCCTCTTCAACCAAGTCGAATCCATGATGGAACACTACAAACACCCCATGCTGCTCATCGAGTTCGACCAAAACAAGTCGTTCACCCTAGAGCCCTTCACCGACTACTCAGCCGGTAGCAGCAGTTCCTCCTCCTCCGCCAACGGACCCGCCACAACACCAGACCTCCAATCCAAACTCGTTATGCTTACCCTCGCTTTCCCTCGCTTGAGAATCATTTGGAGTAGCAGTCCGTATCAGACGGCTGAGATCTTCGCAGAGCTCAAGAAACAGCAGGATGAGCCTGATCCGATGAAAGCCGTGCAGTTGGGGCTTGATCCGAATCAGAGTGGGGATGAGATGCGCAGCTTTAATCAGACGAGTCAGGATATGTTGAGGGCGCTGCCGGGGGTGAATGAGAATGTGGTTACGACGTTGATGCTTAAGAGTGAGAGTGTGTTTGAGGTGGCGAATATGTCCGAGAGGGAGATTTGTTGGTTGGTCGGGACGGATGTGGGGAGGAGGGTGCATAGGTTTTTTAATCGCAGTGTGTATGAGGAGGTGCAGTGGCAGGGTTTTAGTTAGAGGGTCAGGATGTTAGATGGTAGAGCAAGGGTACATGGAAAGTGTAGTTTGGACGAAGATTATGCGTGTATCATTTCTCTATCCCATCATGCTTTCACAAAAATTCCAAAAGCACGTAACATAAAAACATGCCTCATAACCCCATGATCATCCATACGGAACCATGTATCCCTCAACATGCCTCAAACCATCCGCCCGCTCGCAAGAAGCAGCATTTGAGCAGCCCGGCCCCCGCCACAGCAAAGCAGCAGCCGCAAAGCAGGAGCCGAGACAGCATGGCGGATCTGCGCACCTCCCCCTCAAATGTCGTCAATATCAATCTCCTTCTTGCCAGTGCCGTCAGCCTCGTCCGAATCGCTGTCGTCGCGGTCCTCGTCGAACTCGAAACCGATGCCCTCGTCGCCCTGGTCGCCGTATGTGTCGGTCTCGTTGATCTTTGCGTTTTCGGGGAGTTCGCCGTAGGCTTTTAATGAGCGGGCTTCGTCGGCTGTACATGTGTTAGTATCATGCCCAACAAGCCTTGGTTTGTTTCAGTGACAGTGTAGACTCACCAGAGTACTTCATAATAACATCACCCTTCTCGTCCTGGTAGTCTCGCAGCGACAGCAGGATAATGTCGCCCTGGTTGATCCAGACCTTCTTCCTCAGCTTGCCGCGGATATGGGCGAGACGGCGGGCGCCGTCGAAGCACTGGGCTTCCAGACGACCGTTTCCGAGCATCTTGACGACTTGGGCGTATTCTTGGCCTTCCTCTTTGAAGACGAGTTCGCGCTTTTCGTTGTCGTTCTCGTTCTTACCCCTACGTCGGTTTTTACCTCCCTGATAGATATGTTAGCAGGTGCATCGTGGCATGTGAGAGGAAGCGCCGCATCGCCCAGACATGGAAAGCGCCGTGAGGTTTGGGCGTCAGGCGCTGGAGGAAGTGGCGGGGCAGCCCCTCCAAAAGAGCGCTGGACATACCTTTCCCTTGTTCTTCGGCATGGTGGGCGGTAGTCGAAGTTGGTGTGGGTGTGGGTGGAGTTGTGTTTGGTGTTGGTGGCAGAAGCGTCGGCGGGCGCAAGTCTTTATGTAGTGGCGGCTCGACGGTTGTTTGCACTGTGGATTCCGACTCACTGTGGGAGCCTTCGACACTGCGCGCTAAGGCCGCTTACAGCCAAGCGCCCCGTCGCTCACCCGGCCGAAAATCAATCCATCCGTGGTCCTTACGCCTTTTCACCCCCACTCGCTGTCCCTTCACCCTACGTCACCGTGCATACACACGAGAGGCATGGGACAGCCATGTCAAAGAATGCCGTCTATTCGCTCCTCGCCAGACAGCAGCCGCGCACGTTCAAAGTCAGCTATGCCACCGACTACAAGCACTTCATCCTCAACCACGTCGCGTCCGATCCCCAGCACCCCCTCTGCGAGACGCAGCGCCGCAGACAGAGAGAGAAGAAGAAGGAGGGACTGTGGTGGCATGCGACCACCCCCGCCGACCTGAACAAGTCCAGCTGTGTAAGAACATGGGCTAGACGGCGTCTGCGCAATGCTATCAAAGAAGAGCTCCAAGCCCGCGGATACGACGAGAATGGCAAATTTGTCTATCCTGAGGTCCGGAAGAGCCAGCCAGGTCTTTTGAATACGCTGCGCGCGGGCAACACACTGGATTTGCAGGGCAGCTTGAGGTTCCATGTCGAGCCGCCTCTGGTCCCGGCAAAGTATGTAGATGTACGCGCAGAGGCTGGTGCTGTCATAGAGGCTTTGATCAATGCTCAGAGAGGCACGGTTGGCGGATTTGCTCCAGCGAAGCCGATGAAGACGCGTCCATCGTGGAATCCACCTGCTGCTGCGCAAGAGCGTCCGCGTCAGATCTTCAAACGCGTGGCGACGCGCACGGGGTGATTGTGGCTTCACAGGCTGAATGAACTCGTAGAGACCTGCTGAGCTGCATTGTCGCAGAAGACGAAGGGTCTATTACGCTGCCGCCGGCCAGCGATGCCCTGACGTATGTAGTAATACATTAATCACCGAGCTTGACAAAGATTCGCAACACCATCGAAGGTGATGGATCCAAATGAAGAGTAAATAAACGTTCACTCAGAAGCACTGCGCGCAGACACAACGACTCCTTACACGCGCCCCTGATCAGCCTCATGTCATCATGTCATCATCTCGCTTCTTACCCACCCGTGGACCTGTTGTCACAGCTTCGGTACAAACCTCCGCACCAGACCTGCGATCCACATGCTCGCTTCCTCTAATTGGTAAAGGAGCTTTCTCGGCCCCAGCCGTGGTTCTTACCTCCAGCGCCATGGTTGGGTGGAGGGAACCACCGCTTTTCTACTGTCATCTACAGGTCTGCCTTGTGTTTACTAAGTAAGGTAATCGTTTTGGAATGCTAGGTCTGGTCGTTCCGAGACGGGTATGTGAAAGTTGATGCTGTAGATTGTTGCGGAATTTGCACCGGGCCAATGGGAGTTTGATGTTATAGGTGTAGTTCTTGTGAAGGTGTTGTTGTGTTGGAATGGTGGTTTGGATGAAGCGTAATTAGCATTTTTCCCTTGGATGTAGTGCATCAAGACTGTCGCCGATAATAGGATGACTAGACAGCACGAAGTATAACCAGCCAAGAAAAGTCACATTGGAGCATTACACGTTAGGAAATTCAGATTCAGATTTCACCAAGTCCTGTGCAGTACCAGTTGACACGTCCTGACCAATAAGCCGACTTCGGAACTAAATCCGGGCTAAGGTCCGCTCGGAACGGATTGGACGGTCGACTCGCTGACCCACCATCAATGACAGCACATCCGTCGTACATCTACTTAGGCAAGTCTTAAATACGACACAACATCGTTGCATATCTGCATCCAACATTGGCCTGAGCTAAGCATCGATAGTCAAGTTCAAAGACATTCGTCGAACCTGTAATCACCCGCATCTCAACGTTCACGAAGAGTCACCACCATCACAAGCGGCTCATCATGGCATCAGAAGACGAATTCCAGCTCTTCACATCCCTCAGATACGATCCGTTACTGCTCCAGTCAGAGGAAAACTCAAGAGCCATCTTGAACTTCGTCACGCCATCACCTTTCTACATGCTCGCATACCACCGAGACCGGATGGTGGAAGCCGCACAGCACTTTGACTTTTTCGAAGTCGAGAAAAGACTGAAAGACGGGAAGGCTTTACATGAGGAACTGTTGAAGCGAGTGCAAGACGAGATCAAGAAAACAGGAAAAGATGAAGCAATGAAGGTACGACCTGCATTAGACCATCCCTACACATTACTAAGAACAACCCAGCTACGCCTCTTATTCGACAAAGCCGCCAATCTAACTGTCGAATTCACCCCAATACCAGCTGTCCCCCTATCAACCCTCTATCCCCCATCTCTAGACCCACCAAACCCATCCCCACCCCACCATCCCACCAACACCAACACCACCACCACCACAGAACCATTCACGCCCTCCCCCCTAACAGGCGGCGCCCTCCATCTCGGCCCCACAGACACCCTCCCAGCCGGCGATACATCCCAGCCCCCTCCACCCCCCGAATGGAAAATAGCCCTCGACACCGCCCCCACCCCCTCCTCCCCCTTCACCCTCCTCAAAACCACAAAGCGCGAAATGTACGACCAAAGCCGCGAACGCGCCTTACCCCCTAACCCCGCAGGCCCCGCCTACCGCGAAGTCATGCTCTACAACGAAGTCCGCGAGTTAACCGAAGGCACACTAACCTCGCTGTACCTTTTCCGCGGCGGGAGGTGGGTGACGCCGCCTGTGGGTGTGCCGTCGGGGGAATTTTCGAGCAAGACGTTGAAGGATGATGGGGTGGATGAGGGGGAGTTGAGGAAGCCTTTCGCGGGGAGGTGGGGGCATAGTACTAGGAGTGCGAAGGTGGGGGCAGGGGGGCAGAGGGGAACGAGTAGGCGGTGGGCGCTTGGGAGTGGGTTTTGTATGGAGGAGCCTGTGGGGATTGAGACTGTAAGTGTGGGGGAGGGGGTGTGGGTTAGTAATGGGGTTAGGGGGTTTGGGTTTGGGAGGGTTGTTGGGTAGGATGGTGGATTGGGAGCTATGGATTTTGGGGTTGGATCTGAGTAGTGTGCTCGCAAGGGTTTTGGTTTGTGCACTTTGGGACTTGGATGTTTTGTAGCGGTGGGAGTGGTTAGAATGATGTGGGGTTGGTAGGAAAGACGTGGGAGTAGTTAGAAAGATGTGGAAGTAGTCAGAAAGGTGTGAAAGTGGTTAGAAAAACGTAGGAGTGGTTAAAAGATGTGGGAGTGGTTGGAAAGGTATGGGGTTAGTTGCTATGTATGTTGCGCTTTGGGTATAGCCCCTTTACTGTGTTACAATACTGCGTTAACTATACCGCGTTGTGGGCTCTGCTTAGGCATCGACTCCAGTCTCTCCTCAAGAGTATGGTGCGCTTTGCTCTCTCACAGTTTGGCGTCGTCTTCACTGCTCATGCCATCCTCGCCACCTTCAGCCACGTCCTGGGTATCTTCTGCTAAGCTTGGGGTTAGTCGGAGCCGGAGGGTTTGCCTTGGTCGGCTCTGCTCTGGCATGATACGAGACTGTTGAGGGCAGTTCTCGACGAAGACAATAGCCCGTGATACCAAGACAGATCCTTCCCAACCCTGATACTTGCCCGGTTCTTCAGCGAAGAAGTCTCTGTCTTCCAGCAAAGCATCTTTGTACTTCTCCGCCTTGAAGGAAGGGTCGTCACAGTCCGGTAGCTTTGGTTCCGGCACGCACGTATAAAGCGCGGGACAGACGCAGATTTTGACTCGATAGTCAGCTGGATTGTCCTTGGGGCCCGGTCCGTTTCCGTCCTCGATTTGAACTTCCATGGTGTCCTTGTCGTAAGGTGCGCCAGGTGGTGGGAAGGCGAGTTTGTGGTGATGGTTTGACACAAGAAGCTCCAACTTCATCTCCATGGTGGACTGCAGCCAATCATCGAGCTTTGGGCGCATTTCCGTAGTATCGAGCCAAGGAATGAAGCTGCGGCATTCTTTGATGAAGATTGACATCTGGCTTTTCGCCTTCGTCGGTATTTGTTGCTTGCGAAAGTACTCATTGCCGATCTTATCTAGGGTAGCCATGGTGTCTAGTTGTCGTACACATTTGAGTCCATCTGTAGTCGTTAGTTGATGAACGTATTAGTTGTGGGGGTGTTACTGACTGAGTGACGCAATCGACTGCCACATTTCGTGCAACTTCTCCGACTTCAGCCCTCTGGTATGGAACGCTGTATTGAAACACCATCGTAGAGCATGATTCATGAAACAGGCGATCTGGATGTTGACATCAGTAGGCATGGCCGTGGTTTTAGTGAAGCACTCAGCGAGCGTCAGGTTCCCCGTTTGTGCCACGGAGAGTCCAGTAACAGCACGCATGGCAGCCTCAAGCTTGACGGGTACCCGGTCTTCAGCGCGGAGTGATCTTGCCATGTCGTATGGCCGGCAATCAGATGCCAAACGAGCGACATTCTGACACCAGTCAGCATGGAGAGAGCCAGCATCGTATTCGATCGGGTAGCCTTGAGATCTGGAAACCAGCTGAGGGCCTCTTAGGGTGTTGAGAAGGCATTGTAGCTGTCCGATATGCTCTGCCTTGGCTTCAAGAAGTTGCTCTAAGCATCGTATAGCATCTTTATGACGCGTGTTAATCGTCAGCTTCTCGGAAACGAGTGTTGCCCGCTCCAGTTCGAGATCACTGGCCGCTTGGCGCAGTGCAGCATGGCTGGGAGTCGTGAGCTTCCCGATGTGGCGGCGCAGTTCTTCGTTTTCTTTGCGTAGGGTATTGTTACCGGCCTGTTCTAGCCGTGACTGGCCGACAGTATCTTCGAGCCTCTTCTCAAGATAGGCGATGATTGGTGTGTGTGTTGGGTTGATGGAATTTGAGGCCGTTGTTGTTGCTGCGACGCGTCGAGGGCTACGAGGTGCGTCGGCAGCGTTGGGGGACTCGGCTGGGGAAATGGTGCGATTAGCGCCGGCATTCGTTGGGCTCGCCTGGACTTCAGTCAGCATCTACGTCTTCCGACAGCACGATAGTTACCATACACATGACGGTGTTATTGCTCCTCGATCAACAACTTCATCGACGGGCATGCTTCCTGGTATCTTGGCGTCATTCGGTGAGCCACCCGCGGATCTTGCGGAACTCCTCGCCACCAGAGCGTCCTGAGCCATCGACCTGTCGTCGGCCTGTACCTCTTCACTTGTAGTTCCTCCCACCCGCTCCTCTTCCTCCACTATCTTCCATGGACTTGTCTTTGTACCCCGTTCGCGACCCGCGGGTGTCTTTGGAAGCCTTTTCCTTGCGCGGGTCTCGAAATAGTGTGAGGCAGCGCGCTTCTTCGCTCTCGTTGTACGCGCCGACTTCGATGCTGTTAGCATTTATTCGAGACTGCGACTGCTCACTTGTATGTGAAAACTTACATTTGCCGCTTCTATCAGACTCGCCTCGCGCATGTTCGGTCGAACTATCGCAGCACCAGTCTCACTGGCTGCTGCAGGACTGGGCCCTAAGAGACTCTGGGCCGTCTGTGCTGCAATCTCCCTCTCGAAGGCTGGGGAGAGATTCATGCATGAGATTCCGTGCTCTTCAAATTGTTTGACGCGACCATACTGTTGCAAACGCCATCTGATGGCCTCTCTGGTACGGCCTCTGCCCACACGCTTGAACATCGTGGTCGTATTCGCTAGGAGGCCGAGATTGTGCTGGAAGCAGTACTGCACACATGCGAATAGCAAGGCATCATCCTGAAAGGTCCAGCGGTGGCGCACCATGGGAGTTCCGCTGGTGAAAAGGGACGCACGCCGAGTCGAGCGTCCAGAAGCTGGTTGACGATTGGGGATATCAGAACAAATTGTGTTATATCAGAAGCACAAGGAGAAGAGAGGTGTGTTTTGCTGCCCATCGTAAGTTTGTTGACTAACAACACGCGTGTCTTAGAGTGTTTGTTCCCATGCCACACCGGAATACCGCCAGAGCTCCGTGCATATTGGCCGCTCCTATCTGACGTATACGTGAGACAGACCATGCGCCTAGGCGCTGCACGTAGCCGTGGTAATATTAGCGAACGATAAGCGTAGCTGCGTTCCTGCTTCGCTCCTTTTGTTCCTGATTCCACCTGTCGTTTTCTCGGAAATTGGCGAGATAATGCCCCCCAACACTTCAGATTCCTCCGATCTCGATCGTCTCTTCCTGATCATTGATTGGGGGACCACTTACGGAAAGATGGGCCGCATCCATGTCCCCGCCGGACAGGACGTCAATTCGATCAGCAAAGATAATATCGATTATCTCCACGGATATGACGAAGACATTTGTCCCAACGACAAACACAACGATTTTGTACCCACGCATATATACTATGGTGTGGACGGCGACAATTCCTGGGGCTGGAGCGTGTCCCGACTACTGAGCACGTTTCATGAGGAAATCCATCAAAATGGTGATCGCCTTGTGCGTCTCTCCAAACTGATGCTGGACGACGCCGACGCGACTTTAGACGTTCGCAACGACCTCGAAAAACAACTCAATGGCCTTATAAGAGATGGGTACATCCGCGAACAAGACGATGTCATGAAGGACTACTTTACAGAGTGGTTCACGTTCGCAAAGGAGCAATCCTTCGATATGGGGATTGCGTGCCCCGGATTTGTTATCTCCGTCCCTAGTGACTGGGGCGTAATATCCTGTCATCGATATTATACGGCGATTGTCAAAGCGATAGTGGAGGTGTGGAACCTACAAGTACCACCCAGCATCACAACAGTATCAGAGCCTGAGGCAGCCGCTTCTTATTGTCTTTCCTTAAAGGGCACTGAGGTCGGAGTACGTCAGAACACCTTCTTATCACCGCGCTAAGCTAATCTCGCTGTAGATTGGATCCTGTGTTTCCGTCATCGATGCTGGAGGTGGCACTATCGAGATGATCACACTCAAGAAGACACGCAATGATCCAGTACGCTGGGAATAAATTTGTCCGATGAGCAGTAAGCTTGGTAGGCATCTCAGTCATAGCCCCACGATCACCAAACCGATCTAGGTGACTCTCATGGAGGTGATTCGCTGAACCGAGTTCTCCGAGACATTGTCACAAAGAAGCTGGCATCAGAATCATATCTTGGTGAACAATACGCGGACATAACAGTTCCTAGTATTGTTGCGGGTGTCGTGCAAAAGTACGAGTCCGACATCAAACGCTCATCTAGTGATCCAACGACTAAGCCGCCATCCGGGTTCGTCATCCAGGGTCTCAAATCGGATCCGGCAAGAGGGCTTTTTCCTCATACCCTCAAACTCACATCGTAAGTATATGGTCTTTGTTGAACTCGCTGAAGTACTGATAGAGCAAAGAGATGAATGGATTCGAGTGTACAAACCTGCTCATGACGGTCTGATCAAGATCATTGACGAACAACATTCCCTCGTTGTAGCCAAGGGAGAGCGCATCGATTCTGTCGTCTGGGTCGGACAATTCTCCGACAGCAAGTCGTTCCGAGCCAGAGGAAAGCGATATATGGCCACCTGGGAACATGTCCCAGAGCATACCGACGAAAAGGAATACTCGTAAGCAAACCATCCTTGAGTACACTTCAGAAGCAAGTAGACTAAATTCTACAAGAACCTACGCAGTCACCGGTGGTGCAGGGCTCAAAGCCCTCAAAGTAAAGATGTTCCCCCCAAATCGATTCCTGCGCGCCAGCTTCGCTATCGAGCGACACGTTCCTAAAGAATGGACCCATCGAAGCGTCCGTTTCTTTAAAGAACACCCCCAGCTTCGGCATTTACGTAAAGCCCACGGCGAACTGGGTAACGATGGCAAACTCTACATATTCAACTATCTCGAATACTTCGCGCAGAAGGGAGATAAGTTTCCACCAGGCCGGCAATACTTCTTCACGTCTACTCACTCATTCCATCTCTCAAAGCGGTGGATAGCTGAGGAGCAAATTTGGTACACCCCCCAAGGACCAAAGAAATCATGGTATCGCTCCGATGACGAAGAAAACAAGGACGCAAGAGTGCTGGGGACAATCCACTACGATATGAGTGCACTCAAGCAGAGCGTCGGCGAAGAATTTCGGGTTGGCTCAAAAGGTGACGACTTCTACGAGATCACCCTGCGTGTCATGGTCGAAATGCGGGCGGACTACCCTCACACACTCAATGTAAAGGCTAGATGGGCGCCGGAGCTGTCTGGGGTATCGCGGCAGGATACCGACGCGGATGATGACGCCGACGTCGACAAAGACTCCCGAGAAATGCTTGATGGCGACAATGCCATGGTATTCGAAGGCGAGTACATCAACGTCTCAGCGGCGTTCAATGTCTCGGCCGTATGATTCAGCTGGTGCCTCTATACTATCGTGGCGAAGGCTATCGCGACTCTTTGTACTCTCAAACTTAATGCAACATTATTTCGTATCTAGAACAGTGTGTTGATCATTCGTGTTGCAGTACATCCGGATCTCACCATATCATTAAAAATTTCTATGATTTCTTCAAACAGGCCTAGAGCCTACATCAACGTCAGGTTAACCGCTTTGCATGTTTTTGTGTTGATGTAGGCTGTAGACCTATTTGCCTTTTGCGTTGTGTGCCGATCCTGAAGCTGTGATTTGAACTCCCTCAACTTTGGTTCGTCAGTGCAAAACCCGGATATCGCCAACCATGAGTCAGATGCAAAGCCCGTAAGCAAAGAACCATGGTATGAATGCGGAAGACATTCTTTTGGAATATAAGCGCATCTTGCACATTCTAAATCTGCATCAACTCCCACTTCCAAAACCATCTCAAGAGACATTCCTGCAAATCTTCGCCAACAATATTCAAATCCACATTCGAAAATGGCACCACTCTACAACACTCGCGAAACCTTCAGCAACACAGCCCTTTATACTTCTCCGCACATAATCTCCTCCTCCAAAGACGCCTCACCTCATGTCTGCCCAATCTGTGCCGAGCCGTGTGCCGATACAACTTCTACAAAAAGCCACCATGCACTAAAAATGCCAACATGCGACCACATCTTCGGCGCATCCTGCATCGAAACCTGGTTCGACAACGCAAGCACCTGTCCGCTCTGCCGTCAAGACTTCTTCCCTACACATCCCGAAGAGATATCGCAAGAACTGAAGGAGATGCCTGGTCTCGTTGAAGAGGCGTTGGGAGTGCTGCAGAAAATGCGGGATAGGTATCCACAGGGACGCGACGCTGTTGACAAGATATCAAATTCGCTTGCTGGGTTTGCGGACATGGTTGGGAGGGACTGTGAGGAGAGGAATGCGAGGAAGAGCGAGAGGGGATTATTTGAGAGAAGGAGGCATCAGATGAGAGTTCGGGGGACGCTTGCGGAACACGCACGGCAAGATGGAACGGTCGATGGGCAGGTACCCCCACCGGATGAGCCTGCGACCGCTCCTTCAAGCGACATCACACCGCCAACGCCATCCATCTCCACACCATCCGCTCCTCTCCAGCTCCCAGACCCAATCTCGATGCGGGAATTCATCACTCTCCAAGCCGAAGCCGTTCTCGCCCACGACTTCACCCTTGATCTTGCGTCCGTCACCCGCACCGGACAAGTCGACCCAGGCTCGGATTTCTTCCGCGTCATGGATACAGCACAGGATGTGCGGCATCTAGCTGAAGAGCATGGCTTATTGGACGTTGCTACAACTATCTCGAGAAGGTGCATAAGTGTCAACAGGGCTATAAGCGACGAGCAGCGACGGCTAGCGGCGCCGCCAGCTAGCATGGAGATGGTAGAGCGGCATAGGAGAGAAGAGGAGCTGAGGAGGGCGGCTTGTGTTGAGAGTGGGCCCGGGAGGCCGAAAAGGACGGGGTTTTGGGGGTGGTGGCGGTGGCGCAGGTAGAGTGTTGAAGGGGTTTGTCATACCCATATTGAAGAAGGGTCGTGAGTTCGTTGAGCCCACGTTAACTTAGCGAATAACTGAACACCGTAAAGACTACATTCATGTTAGGTTATCTACTTCGCCTGTTCTTCTCTTGATGTAGTGTGTAGACCTGTTTAGTTCTTTATTTGAAAGAGGCAAGGCTAAAAAATGCTATAAGACATTGAACAAGAAATCGATCTACCTGACCCCGCGTCCAGAAACATGCTTCCGGTTAGCCATGTGCACTTAACAGCCCAGCAATGGAAACAAATATTCGTAGTCGCGTTACATGCTCCACCCAGCGTCTTCGACTCCCTTCTTCCTAATCTTCCATACTCCTATGCCTTACTCTTCTCCGTTCTCGGGATAAGCGCCCCACCAACCGTAAAGTCTGTAGTCTTGAACTTCCGTGCGGCCACCTCCCTCTCAAACAGCTCATCCAGCTCTCCAAAAGTCCTTCCCTTTGGTTCGGGAAGTCGCCACCAACTCCACAAGATACCAATCACACTCGTGCCTGCCCAGAAGAAGCCTGCCTTAGCTCCCCATCCCCACGCTGTAGGATTGAGCATCCGTGGCGTGATGATGTTTGTGACGATGCCTGAGATGTTGTAGCAGTTGCGCGCCAAAACGATTGTCTTGCTCCTCAAGCGTGTGGATGGAATCTCGGAGACGAGGGCATAGCAGATTGGTCCAAGCGTTGCATCGTATGCTAGCGTAAAGGCGAGAAGTAGGGCTGCGATAGACCAGTTGAGTGCCGTAGGATGCGGATTCCCGACTTCGGAGGATGTACCTACTACCGCTGAGCGAACCGTGACGAAGTGGTGGCGGTGTGGTATGCAGGCTAGTATCCCGATGAGCAGCACGAAGACGAAGGTCGTGACTTGTCCGGAGAGGTACAGTGTGCGCCTCCCAAAGTGTGCCATGAGGGCCCAAGATATGAAGACGCTGATAAGGCCAAGGGCGAATTGGCCCAGTGAGAGGGTGAAAGCGTGGGAAGAGCCGAGACCTGCTTGTTCGTCTAGATGAAGTTAGTCTACGCCGCGTTCGTGACGTCGTGAGACGTTGGCTGACTTACAGAAATAGGTGGAGAAGCCCATGAAGGTGCTGCCACACAGCGTTTGGATGATCCAAACCATGCATGTGATCTCGGTCCTGCGCCGGTCCACTCCCTTGAAGCAATCTTTGTAACTCGTGCCACTCTGCATCTGTTGTTCTCTCTCGTTCGTTTGGATCATGGCCTCCATTGCGCCGTTCAGAGTCTTATCATACTCATCGTCCGACATGGTTGGTGGTTGCGTGCGCAGCCGACGCAGCGTCTTCATCGCATCCACAAAGCGATCCTGTCGTATGAGCCACCAAGGCGATTCGGGGGCGAAGTAAACAGCGAAGAAGATTGGGACTGGAAAGATCCACTGAAGTGCGAAGGGAATGCGGTAGGACCATGTGGTGGTGTTGTTTATCATGCCGCGCATGACGATGGACGCTATCAGCTGACCAAGAACCCAGCATGCGTTGACATAACTTGGCATTGTTAGCTTCGTTTAACTGAGATGAGTTCGAAAGTTAGAAGAAAGAGACAGATCGATACATACGTAGTCAGATACGCCCGTAAGGCGACTGGGCATACATCCGCAGCATACACCGTGCATATGCACTGGAACATGCCCCAAGGCATACCTAGTAGACACTGTCCTATCAACAGAACCGTCTTACCTGTGGCAAAGAAGGGTACGAATATGAAGACACTCATTGCCACCAACCCTACCATAAGCGTGTATCGGTAGCCAATTCGCTCAGCGAGTGTTCCTGTAGCAAAAAGCCCTACGATCTGCCCTGCCAGGCCGCCGTTCACAAGTGCGCTTTGCCAGTCGGCGCTGATTTCGTACAAGCCATTTGATTGTAATGTACCGAATTGTTTCCGAAACGGTTGCATTGCGAACAGATTGGGTACGAGGATGGTAGAGAATCCTTCCATAATGAGTGTCATCGATAGCAACACGGACCATGTTATTGCTTTGGGGCACAGGCGTATGCCTTCGCGAAGCGACATTGATCGTTCCGCTTCGTTATTGCTTTCGACAATAGTGGTCGTTCTCTCTAGTATCGCATCTGTTGATTCGAGCTTCGACATCGCCGGCAGGGAGGTGAGGGTGTCGTCTGAGCTGTCGAAACTTAGTGTGTCTGATTGGCCTTGCTCCATGAGTTGCTGATCAAAGTCGACGACACCATGTCGTTTCCGCTCCATGGCTGACACCATGATGCTATGGTCTAAGTTGTCTTGTGTAGAAGTTTGAGCGATAGCGATACTTGTAGGAGGTCGGGATGAGAGAAGGAAGTGTACGCCAGTCACGTATGGGGGTGATGACTGTCACACTTGACATATAGAGCACGCGCGGGGATGCGGAGTCAAGAAGACCGCGGGGTCACGAGGGAATGTGACGCAGGTTGATCAGGACCGGACGGGATGACATGCCCATGACCTCAAATGAGCGAGCCATTCTCAGCAGAACCCGAGATTGGGTGCACTAAGGAGACACTTGGGGTAGGCAGCGGCGGAAGATAGCACATAAAGGCGAACGAGCGGAAGACGAGGCCTCGAACTAAGAAGTTAGCCAGCTGGAGTAGAAGGCCGATCAAAACTTGAAGGCATCGTGACTCGAAGACAACTTGGCGGCTCTAGGCAGAACAGGTTATCGGTGGTTGAAGTGACTCCTTCGCCGGTCAACTGTGAAGCAGATACAAGCTTTGTGGTCGGCCGTCGCGGGCCGGACGGGAGCACGCGACCGGCGTACCACTGGGGTAAAGTATGGAGAGTGGTACGGTCCACATTATGATCCGCTCTCATGTCGCTCAACCTATAGACTGACAAGCGCCGAGCGGGAGCTCTGAGGACATCTGGGGCGTTTCACGTCATGATCTGGCTAATGCACTTGGTGATACTTCCAAGGTTAGCAATTTCTAGATTCCGTTAGCATAGCTCTCGAAACAATACGTGATGTTACATCAGTAACCGGCCCGGGAAGTACCCTGCGCTGGAACATTGCAATCAATACACCCGTGGAAGGCTAAGAATAGGCTGCAGGTGAATTCGACTCGGTCATATTGGTATCGTGCATCTATCTCTTCAACGAAGATTCAAGTTTTGGCACACTCACTGCTTCGCAGCAGCAGCGGCTTCTTTCTCTTTCTTCTTGCGCTCGACCTCAGCCATCTTAGCCGCCTTCTTCATGGCATTTTTGGTCATCGGCTTTCCGTCGGCGTCCAATGAAGGACCCCCGCTCTCGGTGTCTTGTGCCGGTTGCTCGAGCTTGGGCTTGGTAGGGTTCGGATTACCCTTCCACTCTAGCTTCCGCGGGCGGAGGAACTCGTCGAGAATCTCGTCGGTGACCTTTGCTCTTGCTTCTTGGAATTTTTTGACGTACACAGTCATAGTGTCTACGCATTCCTTCTTCATCTCGCCAGTCAATAGCTCGCCTTTGCGGTAGTCCTCAGCTAGCTTCTTGAGCTTCTCGTCATCGTCTTCGAAGTATCCGATGTACTGGTACGGTACGTCGATATCGGGGTTTCCACCCTTCTCGCGATGGAGCTCTAGTGTTTCTTGGCCACCAGAGAAAGCCTTGGTGTTGATCTTGGTCTTGATTTGCTTTGGTGTATCGCTCATAAAGATGGCAGAGTTGGCATCGGACGCGCTCATCTTGCCACCAGCGCCTTGCAACGCAGTGAGGAACTTGGAATGTATGAGGGCTGGTTTGGGCGAGGGAAGATCCATTCGGTGGCAGTTTTCACGAACCAGACGGAAGTAGGGATCTTGATCAATAGCGCAGGGAATCAGACAGGGTATGGAAGCAAGCTTCTTCGAGCGCTTGTAGGTCGTGTGATCTTCACCCCAGATAAAGGGGTACGACGAGGCAAAAGCGGCAACGCACTGCTTAGCTGCGAATGCATTGCTGCCGATGTTTGTTGAGCCATCGAAACCAAACGCGCCGCGCACTTGGTTGTTGGTAACCAGCTTCTCGAACTCAGTGGTGTTGAGACTGAAGTGTCGGTTGAAGCCGGATGTGAAGAACTCAGAGTCGATGTACATGAAGGTCTTCTTGATATCGAAGCCGACGGATATGACATCCTTGGCGTTCTGCCGCGAGAATTCGTAGACTTCCTCCTGCTTGAGCTTCTCCTTGAACAGGAACTTTTCGTCATCCGTCAACATGATGACCAGCGGAACGTCGAAGACATCCTGCAACCACTTTGTGAACTCGAAGGGTATAGTGTGACCAATGTGCATGGCATCACTGCTAGGTCCGCGGCCGGTGTATAGCAGGAAGTCGTCGCCACGCTCGTATGTATCCAAGATGAGCTCAAGATCGCGGTGGGAGAAGAAAAGGCCACGCCGTAACCAGCGGTGCGGCTTGTGGCCTGTGACGCGCTCGAATCGCTCCAGCAGCGGTTGGTCTATGAGTTTTGTGGCCCACTTTTGCGAGATGGCGACATAGTCGAATTGCTTGACGTTTCCTTCCTCATCTACGCCCGCTTGTACATCCCAAGGGTTAATCTCCTGCTCGGTCGCTTTTGAGACGGATTGCGTCGCTGTATCGGAGAGTGAGAGGGCGGCGACGGCGGGTGGCTCGGGCTCGGTCATGGTGCTGGCTCTGTTGGAAGATGGCTTGTGTGTCGGGCTGTGAATGAAGGAGTGACTCTAGCCTAGGGAATTACGTGGCGCGATTCTTTGGTGGTGGAGCTGAGTCACTGGATATTCGGCGATGGAGGACCCCACCTCAATTTGGCGTTCCTGTGGCTAGACCTGCCCCGCACTCCGCCACAGCCTGCGCCACGCACCAGCCACAGCGGCGTTACGGGAGGGAAAGCCGATGCAGGTCAGCAAATCTCGTCATGGCGCCAGGATGGCGAGAGCTCCAGACGTTTCCATCCTTGGTCTCACACCACCCAGCCCGACAACTCGCCCTACCCCTCTCCAGCGCGACTAAACAGCCTGTCCAATTGTCACAGGTGGATGCGCTTGACCATGCGACTTCATCACCGGCGATAGACGACCGCGCGTTCCAGGCTGCCTTGAGCTCCTACCTATACCATTTTATATCTCCCGCCCTTTACCGCCCACCCACGCCTACAGACTCCGATTCGATCACGACGACGTCACCATGGTCAAGTTCTACTCCTCCAACGAGACGTACTCGTACCCGTTCCCCGCCGTCTCGCTCGCCTACTTCCTCCGCTACCCGAACCCTTACTCCACTCATGTGATCTCCACCGACACCATCGCCCGCAACTACGACCCAGAGACCCAACGCCTGACGACTATCCGCCTCCACCTAAAGCGCTCCAAAGTCCCTTCTGCCGTTCTGAAGCTCGTACCGCGGTCTCTTCTTGGCACCTCAGCCAGCGGAGAATCGCAGACTTACATTCTCGAGAAATCGGTCGTAGACATCAAAGAGGGATGGATGGACACGGAGTCACGGAATCTGGAATGGACAGGTGTGCTATCTGTCGTAGAGAGGCAGAAGTTCATACGTCCTTCGCCGTTGGTGTCCGAAGACGTGAAGATGCGGCAAGCCGTGGACGGTGCCACGCAACGCCAGGGTTTCATCAACTTTGGCAGCAAGGGTGCAGGTGCCAGGGTCGAGGATTCGGGTGAGACTACCGACGTCATAAGCTCTGTCACACTACACAGTCACATCGGGGAGACATGGAAGAAGAAGCGCGCGGCTGCAAGGGAGGACGCTGCGGATGAGGAACAGCCACAAAAGATGGGCTTCCTGCGGAGTTGGGGCACCGCGGCTCTCCAGCGAAACATCGAGAAGATTGGTCTGTCCCGTGCGCAGCGAAGTCAGCCGAATGCGCGTGAAGGCATGAAAGTCGTTCTGGAGCGTATGCGGGAAGGCGGCCTCGTCGGGGTACTGGAGGGCATGCGACAAGACCGCGAAGCCATTCTCGCCGGTCGTCCACTGTCGACCCCAAGAGCGATCACCAAGGACGAGTGATCTCATTACCACTCAGATGATGGAGCGGTTTCTAGTGACTCGCTCGATTGATGAGTCCCATGTTTCCGATATGAACATTCAGCGACGGCGTAACGGTCTCTCTCCCTACTTTTTCACATTTCGTCATTACCTCGCTCTCTTGGTGCAAGGGCCAGGTTTTGTGTTACTACCACGTTTTCATGTTGCATCGTGTCTTGGTTTGGAACGATGGTAACGATTGTAAAGCAATAAGCAAGTCTCTTGTATCATGCCGCGAGTCTTTGCAAAAAATCGACAAAGTCTGAAAAGTTCATTGCAGCGCTGCGTCTTGTTCTCACTTAACAAGTGATATTCGGTGCCGGTCGTTCCTTCCGCTCTCTCGATGGGTCGCTTCGATCCCGACCATCGCTTCTGGGCAGTGGGAAGCTACCACACCACCTCGTACGACAACCTATTCCTCAGCATCGATCTCATGCTCAAAGCTTCATTGCATCATGCGTCTACTCGCGCACTACGACATTCCAACCTCACCGATCATTCCATGAATCGCGCTGACTACTTACTACCGCCACTACCCGGCTGTGATGACCTAAAACAGCCAACAACAAACAACTCGGCGCAGAGTAACGAAATTTCAACAGACGAAAAGCCACCCACGCCGTACGACTGCTACAGTGAAGGTAAGCTGTCCATCTTACAGTTACCTTCAACCCCCCACTGAAGAAAACAAAAGCAGTCTACAAAGGCTACGATGCCTACCACTCCCAAATCCGCAAACTCGACTGGCTAAAAGCCCACCGCGCCCTAACCACCTCCCCCGAAGTAACACCCCACACAACCTGGCTGATCGAAACCCTCCAAGCCATCATCACCCGCTGGGAAGCCGTCCTCCCCTACATCGCCTCACCCTACCCCATACCCCCCAACAACCCATCCGCTTTCACCTAGGACGCGATCCCGGAACCACCTCCCGGCCGAGAACATCTCCTCGCACTGCGCGACTGCCTAGAAGAGAAAGGCAGAGCGATCATCGGCCAGCCGTTTGTGGATAACGCGGATGTGCTGGCTGAGATGGATTTACCGGGCTTTGGCACGAGAAGGGTGCTCAAGGTCTTTCGGTTGCAGGAGGCGAAGCAGTTGGCGTTGCATACTTGTTTTGTGAGGAATTTGGTGCTGGGGCTGGAGAAGTTGGAGGGGGCTTGTAGGGCGCATGGGGTTAGGTTTGTGGGGGGTGGGCATGTGGAGGCTGAGGGTGTGGAAAAGGAGGCTGGTGGGGATGTAGTTTTGGGGATTGCGGTGAAGGAGATAAGGGGTATGGATGGGCCGTTTGATGTGGAAAGCTCAGCCTGACTGTAGGTTTGTGGGAAGTCATCGATTAGTTATGGCTACCTAATTATGGTAGCCATCACGTGATGCTTGGCACGAAGATCCCATTGCCGCGCAGTTGGATTTGGTTGCGCAAAGAGTCTCATGTCATGTAGTAGGAGCTAGTGCATCGCACAAATTGACCTGGCAGCTAGAAGCGTGGTCGTTGAATGGCTGCAATGTACCTGCCGCCGGTGAGGGTGGCCAAGCGAGCGAGGCTGAGCCTTGCAACCATGTCCAGGTGCACTGCCTCGAGTTGACTTCACTATTAATCTCAGCCTGCCGCCACTACACTTTTTTTCAACTCTTACCTACCTCACCATGTGGTTGCTCCACACTACAAATCTCAAGTTGCGTCACTTCATCTCCAACATACCCGACTACGTAATACTCTCCCATACGTGGGCTGAGGATGAAGTTGGCTTCGACGACATCGCGCAGCCCTACGCGGAAGACATGGCCGGCTTTTCTAAAATATCGCGATGCTGCGCTCAGGCAGTGCGGGCTGGATTTGAATGGGTCTGGATTGACACATGCTGTATTGATAAGAGAAGTAGTGCTGGATTGTCCGAAGCGATCAATTCAATGTACAGATGGTATTGGAATGCAGCGATCTGCTACGTTTTCATCTCAGATCTTTCCGGCGACAATAGATATCTTCAATCATCACGTTGGTTCAGAAGAGGATGGACGTTACAAGAGCTCCTTGCGCCCGATACCATGGAGTTCTACGACTCGGACTGGATCTTTCTGGGCACCAAGACGAGCCTTGTAGAACCAATTTTCGCCGCAACGAAGATCAACAAGCAATACCTACTTGATCGAACCGTGATCGAGAACGCTAGCATAGCAGCGAAGTTCAGTTGGGCCTCCGGTAGAGTGACGACGCGCGAAGAAGATATGGCATACTGCTTGCTCGGCCTCGTGCAGGTGAATATGCCGATGTTGTACGGCGAGGGCCGCGGCGCCTTCTACCGGTTGCAATTAGAAGTCATCAAACAGAATAACGACCATACGATCTTCGCCTGGGCTCCCGTTCATCCACCATATGGTTCCCTAGGCCTCTTCGCATCTTCACCTGCACAATTCGCGAACGCGGCTGGTTTCCGGCCCATTGCTACGCGAGAAAGGCAGCCTACAACTTACGAGATGACCAATCATGGTCTCAGCATTACTATCCCTTGCATACATCGCCGGGCTGGTATTATTGCACTTCTGGACTGCTCAGACTCGACTGGAATGCGTTTTGGGGTCGATCTAGCATGCACCGGTACTCCAACATATAGAAGACTAAATACGTCTTTATTGGAAGTGGATGATGTAGAGGCCAAGCGAGCCACCACGAAAACTATCTACATCGAGGCCCGTAGCAGAAGTCTTGAAGACTTGTCTGGATATTTTAGCAAGATGACAGTGCACAATACGTCGGAATCGAGTCGGATTGGCTGCATCGCCACTGGAGATTTTATGGAAGTCTTACCCGACTATGAGGACTTTCTTGACAAGATGCAGGATCTTGATTTGCCGCGGGACGACTCCTTTTCGACTTTAGAGGACCAAATCATCAACGATGGCGAGTTCATCAGTTTTGTGTTCATATTGCACGACCTTGTTGGCTACTTGTTCTTCTTGGGTATGTACGGAGGTCGTCCATGGATTCATGCATCACCTTATGTCCATGCCCGGTGGGCGGAAGAAGTATACGAGGAACGCAAATTATTCGAAGCTGGAACAGGGGATCAACCGATCTCCGTGGAACACAATCACTTCACAGACCACCTTAGTTTTCCTATCGAAGGAGGTCTTATGCTGGAGGCGACAGCAAGGAAGACACGGTCGGAAGGGATCTTGCTATGGAACGTTGAGATATCCATCAAGGACACGAGAAAGCAGGCAGCACTGTGGCAACTAATGCACGGGGAGATGTGGAAGTAAAGATGTCGTCGGACAAAAATCAACCTTCTTCCGACAAATTGGTGTACAAGCAATTATTGTCACTACTTATGTATTTTAGAGCATTGTTGATGGCAGTACAGGATCAAGAAAGCTACAGAGCTCAACGCGTTAGTAAGTACCGCAGGACAATTTAGGACGCCTCCAGAACAGCGCTACCTTAGACACGATACAAGACAGATTTACAGCCTACATGAAATTGGAGGCATGCAAAATAGGGTACTTAACGTTAACGTAGGTTCTAAGATGATTCACATTTTCTAGAATAAGGTGATACCTGGTTGGAGGAGAGTAATCAGCTAACAACAGTAAAGTCAGAATGCCAATCCAGCTGTTATTGCAGTCACGTATAAACAAGGTCTGGTATGCATTTATCAGGTTAATCAACCGCCCGATCTTTGGAATCACATCATCACATTGTTTTGCGCACTACAGACCGTATATCCAACACGGGTCAATGTAAAGAGTTGACGCGGCACGTGAAACTACTAGGATTCGTATGTCGAACCGCTCGACCGTCCCAGCGTCACTATGGTGTGGGTTTAGGCATAAGCTAACCTCTCCTCCGTCCACCCCGGCCTTAAGTACCCAGAGTCAAAGTTCGAGCTCCAGCTACTCTCAATAGCATACTCCTGCACAAGCTGCACATCAACCTGTGCGCCCTCCTCCGACTGTGCCCACACACTCAAACCAATCACATTGTCGCCGGAGTAGTTGAGGATACCCGGCGGAACCGGGAACTTGATCTCGTTGCCGACGTACGGGTTGAAGCGGGCGTATTGGTAACCATTGACGAAGAGCTGCGCACGGATGGTCTTCGAGCCCACGGCATTGAGGACGAAAGCGAAAGAAGCATCGACTTCAGCAGGTACGCCAAGAGGGATGGTCGTGCGGTAGAACTTGATGTCTGCGCCTTCGAAACCAGTGGATGGTGAGCCAGATGCCCATTCAGAGTCGTCGAAACCGGGGAGATGCCATCCGAGACGCTCGGCTGTGAGACCACCTTCAGCAAGAGGACCACGAACAGGGTCGAGTAGCGCATCTTCACCACCGGCTTCACCAGCAATCTTCCAGGATGTGAACTCTGCGCCTTCGAGAGTGGCACGGAGGATACCGCGGGGGTCGGTAGCACCACCACGCAGATCGTGACCGGTGTTGTCCTGTGCGACGAGCAAAACGTTGGTGCTGTTCTCGTAAACAGTGGCATTGGCGAAAGACAGTGTCATGTTGCCAATGCCTAGGGTGGTGTTGCCCAACCACGATCCGACCAACTCACCGTTCAACCATGCGCTCCAGCCAAAGGCGAGGCCACCCTGAACGGAAAGCTGCACACCGGTGGCCGCGCCGTCGAAGTATCCGCGGAAGAGATGGAAGCTGTTGTGGAAGCCATACTCGTCAACGTAGAGAACAGGCAGGGTGTCGGGCTTGGTAGGGTTGGGGGTGGTGGTGTGGTCAGCGACCACCCAAGCAGCACCGCTGTCATCGTACTCGGGCATCTTCTCTGGGAGTCCTTCATTCATCTTCCAGTTGCCTAGAGTCGGAAGGTTGATGGTGCCGTTGAAAGCAGCGACATGTGCCTTCAAGCTACCGTAGGATGTGCGTGAGGTTGCTAGTTCCTTCCCGTTCCATGATAGTGTCTTCGCACTGCCAGTGGCAAAGACTTCAATGTCGGTGCTGTTCATGATGTCACCCTTGAGAGCGAGACAATCAGCATCTAGAGCTACACTGCGGACGAGGTATGGGCCCTGGACCAGCACGGATTGGTCGACCGGTGCGAAGGGATTGTTCGAGAGATTAGGGGCCCAGAAGAGGTATGCAGTGGGTTTGTCAGCGACAACAACCTTGACACCGTTGTCAAACTGATACACATTCATGCCGGAAACCTTCTGAATGTTGGTTGTTAGACCGTGAGCTTCGGCATGGAAAGTCGCGTTCGAGCTGGTACCGCTGCTGACTAGGGAGCCCTTCGTAGCACCCTTGACGTGGAACTCAACAGACTCTCCGACACCAGTCGACAGTACCACAACTGGCTTGTGATCAACCATAGCATATGTGAGAACCTCAGCAGTAGAGTAGGTCAAGGTGTTGTTGCCCATGGCGAAGTCGGTGACAAGAATCTTGGACTGATGGCCGTCGAGAACAATGGAGCCCGCATGCTGAGGAATAGTCAAGTTTCCTACGGAAGTGCTGACATGTAGCTTGAACGATTCCTTGGTGGCAGACGAAGACGTGGAGTGAATGGTGACGTAGAAGGCAGCGTTGGTAAGGGGGTTGCGGAGCTCGCTAGCCTCGACCGCCGGGTTTGTGGAGTATGAGCTGGAGTTACCGAGACGGTTGGTGACGGTGAGATCATCAGCAACGCGGGTGAACATAGCCAAGTTCTTGGTCTCGTAAAACTTGGCGCCGATCTCACGGTTCTCGCTGATGGGACTGCTGTAGTCGTAGGAAGTAGCTGTGACTGGAGCAGCTAGAGCACCCCAGTTCGTTCCTCCGAACATCATGTACAGCGACACCGCGGTAACACGCTGAGAAATGAGGTTGCGATAGAACAAGTTGGCGAAGTCGGCTCCGATATCAGCAGGGCAGCCTCCCTCAGGTCCACCCCATGGGTTGTAAGAGCCACCCTGGAA